AGGTGGCTGTGGGAGGTCCTTGCAGGCTCTTTCAGTCTCTCTCTGGCTTCCTGTCTTGCCACTTGATCTCTCCCTCTTGTCATGTGTCACCATGACTCCATCTGCTGTGACATGAGCTGGCCAAGGGACCCCTCACCAAAGGCTGAATCAACAAGGCCACTGGATCTTGGGCTTTCAACCTGCAGAACTGTGAGCTGAATAAACCTCTTCTCTTTATAAAGCGCCCAGTCTCAGGTGTTCTGTTACAGCGACCCAAAACAGACCAATGCATCCTTGTTCCAAGATGGCTCTGCACTCTGGCAGAGAGAACAGTCAGCCTCTGGAAGCTCTGGGGTCCTTGGTGTAGGCCACCATGGGCTGCTCCCAGGCTGGCCTCGTGGCCCTCATGATGCAGACAGCACCCAGGTCTCTGGGGCTCGCTCTCCCAGCCCCACCTCCTGATAACCCTGGCTGTCCTCAACTTGGCCAGCTTGTCCTGCTGTACTTGGCTCCCATCTGTGCTGCAGGCCACAGACAGCCCCAGAAAGGAAGCAGTGAGCAAGGCCTTGCCAGGCCTGTTGCCCCAGTGTCTGAAAACAGCTGTCCCCTCCGTAGTCCCCACACACTACCTGCTCAGGCACAAGGGGAAGCTTCTATGTCAACTGAAAAACTATAGCAGACCAGGGCCACGGAGTTCCTGTGTGCCGGGCTCCATGGAGACACGGATGCTTGAAGGCCTGGGCTGAGAGGTAGGACGGGCTGGGAACTTCTGGCTACACCAAGCACCTAAGCTCTTCAGCCAGAGGTAATTTCAGAAACCCATGGCACAAATGTGCACTGGTGGTCCTCAAACAGTAGGGTCCTGTCTTTAGAAAAGCTCAGATGGGGCCAGAATGGGAAACATTAGAAAATGCTCTGCTCCACTTTGACTAGAGGAGGGGCAAGTGTGTGTGTGTGGGGACAACTCACGTGCTGGAGCACCCCAAAGGTCCCCCACTGGAACCCTGAAAACAAGCTAAAAATGACTCTCAAAGGAATCATGTTATCTGCAATCCACGAACTGATTGCGGGGTGAGGAGAAGCCACTGTGGCCCCAAGCATCTCTGGTCACCACAGTGGCTGGACAGGGCCCAGGTCATCAGCCAGCCCTGCCAGAAACCACAAACACGCTGGGCTGCAGCCTCCCCAAGAGGACACAGAGGTGCAACTGTCCCTGTCTGTTCCTCTCTGAGCTGCCGCACCAAGTTCTGTTGCCACAGCTCTCCAGGAATTAGAGGAAATGTCCAGAACGCTCCCAGCAACCCTGGAGAAGAGCCCAGCTGTCCAAAGAATCAACACTGTGCAGCCACCAGGGTCCTCCCTGTGGGGACGGGCCATCCCACCTGCTCCCAGGCTGTAAATTCCTTCCCACACTGGAAGATAAGATGGCCAGTGAGCTCTCTCTGGGAAACGGCCTCCACGGTGGAGACGGCACGGTGTGGGCATGCAGCAGCTGGGTGGCACTGCCATGACCACCTCGCAGGGCCAGGCCCATGGCGCGTGCCACCTCCACAGGGTCCAGCCACCGACCTGCACGGCCTCGGGCTGGGCTGGTGCTCAGGCCAAGAGTGAGGAGGAACCAAGTCATTTGCCTCCCTCGGCCGGAGGTGTTGGCCCAGGCCACTCTGTGGAAGCAGGAGGGCCGAGGTGGCGCCTGCACTGCTCCTGACAGCACCGCCCCGGGCAGCAGAGTTCCCTAAGGGGAAGAGCACAACACAGAGCAGAGATGCAGCAAGTCCTCAGCCTCTCGGGGCCCGTGTCGTTTCTCACGCAGCGAGGGCCGTACGCCTGTGGTTAGTTGTGTCCCACAGACTGAGAAGTTGGCAACCGGCAGGGCTGGGTAGACCCGGCTTCCCCAGGTGTCCATCACCTGAGAAGACACCGCCCACGACCTGTCCACTTCTGCTAGAGGGAAACGCTTGGGGCGGCTCTCTGAGCTGTGCGCTGCTCTTCAGCAACATCAGTGTCTCAACTGCAAACTGGACCCCGCAAGGGAGGACCCCCCCAGACAGTGAATGACGGGTGGACCCCAGGCCTGTATCCAGGGAAGAACAGCAAAGGCAAGAACACAGTGATTCGTCTTGGGCAAACAGGGCCCCATGGCCATCTCCAACTCCTAACAAGGTTCCTGTCTCTCAAAGGCAGCGGTGGCTCTGTGGTGGAGTGAAAGACCCCAGGGGAGCAGGGTGACCGTCACCTTCCAGAGGCATCTCACAGAACCACAAGGCCTGGCATGGCGTGTGGCACACATGAAGAGAGAAGCCGGCAAACAGGCCTCGCCGTGCTGCACACTGGACTTGCTTAGTGTGGGGCTGTCACGGCCAGGCGAGAAGGGGACACTGGTCACTCTGAAGTGTGGGAAATGTTCCACGCCACAGAAGAGCCCAGTCGGGCGAGGGAGACAACAGGGAGAGGAGTGGCCAGTGCTGGGGGACCAGGGACCCCAGGAACAATGGGGCCTGGACCCAGGACTTTACAGAGAGATTGGGGTGTGTGTGAGGGGCCAGGGGCTCCCTCGGGGCTTCTGAAGCCCCAGTGTTTTACTGGTGGTGATCTTTGCACCTTCATTGCCAGCATCTGCCACCTACAAGTGTCACGAGACACGAGCCAATCAGACTGATGCCTTGTCTAGCTTCTGTATTTATCAAGCCTGTGATGAAGTGCTAACTTCTTAACCCACAAGCACAGCCACCACAGGCTGTGAGGCCAGGACACGCCCCAGACTCAGCCCCAGCCCAGCCTCTGCCATGAATATGGCTGGTGCTGCACCCCAGCTTGGTCCCGGCTCTGAAGGAGGGCTCCCCACACCTGCTGCACAGCACCGTGTGGGGACAGTTTGGGGACGGGGCTCCCAACAAACATCAAACCTCGAAGAGACAGCTCCTCAGGCTCGTGACAATCTTCCACAAGACCCCTTCTCCCCGACCCACACAAGTGTCCTCGGGGCCAGAGGGCTGAAGTCCCACGGCTGGTCCTGCCCCATCCCCACACCTAGTGGTTCAATGGAAGTCAGGCTCAGCTGTCCCCAGCGTCCAGGGCCACCGTGGTGGAAGCAAGGGAGGGGCCGGCCAGGGGATGGTCCCAGCCATCCTCACCACTCGGTGCACAGTGCAGCCTAGAGCCATGTTTGCAAGCAGGAGCGGCTATTTTTAAGCAGCATGGGTTGGCTATTTCAGGGCCGGGTTTTTATTGTATTTATTTAATTCACAAGGAAGCTGTACTTTCTCATGACTTGCTTCTTTTAAAATGGTGTCTCAGGCATTTGTCATGCTGAAATTATCCTGATTTGCAAGCTGGTCAAAAGATGTCCGAGAGCCAAGAGGCCCCGCCTCACAGCATTCAGAGAGTAACAGCTACATGCCAAAGCCCCAATCCCTACAGCTAGAAGGGACTCTGAGTGGCTGCTCACAGTACTCTGCACAGGCACAGGGGCACACCTGTAATCTTACTCAGAAGGTGGTGATCGAGAGGGTCATAAGCGAAGGCCAGCCTGGGCAAAAAGGTAGAGACCCCATCTCAACCAATAAAAACTGGGCAGGGGATACATGCCTGCCATCCCAGCTACGTGGGAAGCATAAATAGGACATCGTGGTCCAAAGCCAGCCCCAGGTGAAAATATGAGGCCCTATCTGAAAACTAATGCAAGCACAAAGGGTTGGGGCCTGGCTCAAGCAGTAGAGCACTTGCCTAGCAAGTGAGAGGTCCTGAGTTCAAGCCCCAGTACCACCAAAAAAAAAAAATGTGTATAGCTGGGTGTAGTGCTCCATGCCTGTAAACCCAGCACTTGGGAGGCAGAGCCAGGAGGTCCCCGTGTTCTAGGACAGCCCAGGCACACAGTGAGACCCTGTCTCAAAAAGAAAATGTGCACATTTCCCAAAATATGTCTTTGAAAAGTTTTATACCAGCAACATACAAAATGCTTGGAGGTCACCAGCAACCGAAAGCTCACAGCCACAAGTGTGATTCAAGCAGTGCACCTGAGGTTTCTGGCACTGCCTGACCACAGCAAGTGTCACTTCTCCAGGCACCAGGGGTCTCTTTGGAAGGGTGGGCTCAGCCACCTGTCTGTGTTCAGGACACAAAAGACCTGTGTCCTGTGTGTTCACCTCACAGCTTCAAAACAACCCAGCAGCTCAGACAAAAATCTAACACTAAGCTGTTCTGATGGCCCCAGTACTGGGCTCCATCCAGAGCGCAGTTTCAGACACTGAAGCGCGGTCTCCACCTCCGCCCCAGAGCCTGCTCCAGCCCTCTCCAAAGCTGAAGGTAAAACCACAGCCACCACTAGGTGGGGCGCATGGGGCCGGCAGCCAGGCGAGGCCGGTTCAGGAGTCAGGGCTCTGCCTGCACCAAGCACAGGACAAGGCAAGGCCAAGGAGAGGACACAGGTGTCTGCCTGCGGCTTTGGAGCAGACGGCGGAGAACACAGTCGGGTGCGGAGAACACCTGCAGAAAAGCCACTGGGATTCCTAATTTCTTGCCAAAATACCTGTTGCTTCTTGGGTTTAAATTTCTTTCCGCAATGTCTTTGTAAAGTCATAATTAAATTCTCTCTGCATTGTTCACATCCTACTATGTTAACTTATGAAGCTCAGTGTTTAGTTTTAAAACCACTAAATTGCTAAAACAAATGAGAGTATTACTGCTCGTTTTGACAAATGATGATAAATTATTATGTAAAAGCGAACGACAGCGGTTACAAGCTCTTCAAGCTGAAAAACTTCATGTCAGTGGGTGAAGAAAGCAGTCACATGGAAACTTCCCTGCCATGTATCTAGTGGGAGTGAGCTCACCACCACCACTGTGTGGGAGAGAAGAGGCCAGCAAAAAAATGGTTAACTCTGGTCTCAAAAGGAGGCCGGCCAAGCCCAGTGAGCAGGGCCCGGGAAGGCTATAAAGCCGGCCCTGTGCCAAGGGGCCAGACTGCGCTCAGACAGCCACCGAGGGCGCGCGCTTCCTTGGGGAGCCCTCCCGCAGGCCTCCCCGTGGTCCTCCTTCTCCTCCCCAGTGCACTGCTACTCACACCCTGCAGGTCTGGGGTCACACCTCAGCAGGCAAGTGCAAGTGCATCTCCAAGGGCTCCTGAGGGCAGGAACATGGGACAGCTCTGCTCAGAACCCAGACGGCTCAGGGAGGCCTGGCCCATGCCCCAGACCCAGGTAAGACTCGCACCACTGCCCCAGGGCTCTGGCGTCTGCACCCCACTTTGGGGTCGTACCCAGCAGGCACAGCGGGAGGGGAAAGCATCCACACTGAACTCCAGAAGGCATAGCTCCCGGCCCCATGGAGTGCGCCTGGGTGTGGCTCCCGGGTGTGGCCGCCCTGGGTGTGGCCACGCAGGGGCTTTGCCACGGCATTCTGCCATGTTCTGCTCCAGCAGCCACTCTTGCCAGCCCAGAAAGGCCGGGTGGCAAGGGGAGTGAGTCTGGGATCTGATGAGACACGAGACGTGCTCTCATCTGGAAAGCAGGAGGAACTTGGAAAAAACCAAGCCAAATTGTTTAATTCTCCTTTTATGTCTGAGTCCCGGCCACCCTTATGAGGACGCTGTGACAGTGGGCAATGACCCCACAACAGCACCCCAGGTTTACTCAGCAAGTTCAGGTAAGGAACAAAGGGGTCTCCGAGGGTCCTCTACCCCACCTCAGTTTACTGAGCAAGTTCACCTTCAGGCTGCAGAACAATCAGGCTGAGCCTGGCACTTTCCAGAACTTCCACATTCAAAGATGGTACTTGGGGCAGTTTTTAAAGGAGATAATACAGGGGCTCTCACTGCTGGATGTACAACCTAAAACGCAAACAAGCTGCCCGCCAGCTCACGACAACATGCGCCCAGCACCCACCTAGCCCTCCTCCTTTCCAGAAGTGGTCAGTAATCTCTAGTCTGGCCGCTGTGAGCAGGGACAAGTCAGCTTGTCCCAGGGCTCCTCGCTCACCCTCCATGTGTGTATATGTGTGTGTGTCTGGTGGGGCGGGGGGGGGGGAGAGCTTGCCATTCTTTGCTGGGTTGGGGACTATCCTGTACACTGTCACAACGTGTCTCCAGACACTACTGAGAACCCGGGGCCACAGAAAACTCCAGGGTGGCAGGAATCCCCACTCCCAACACAGAGAAAACTCAGCTTCTAGCTACATACAAAAATATATACTAGGCCTTATACTAATTTGTTAAAAGGCCAAATAAAAACTTTCTCTTTGAGAGGGGGTGTCTCTCAAAGAGAGTTTTTTGGCCAAAGTGGTGCCAAATTGTTGGGCTAAAGTGATTCTCCCGCATCCCAAGTAGCTGGGATTACAGGCGTGAAATACCATGCCTGGCTGGCATCACTTCTTATAACAATACTTCCCAGTGAGCTACACAGCCCAACAAGAACCATTTTTATTTCTCAGTCCATCTATCATCCTACATTATGAAGGGAAAAAAGTTTCTCTTCTAGATCCAAACTCAGTCCAATGATAGGTGAAAGAGCTGAATTTCTCGTCCTCTTGTATTGCAAGGGGAAAGGTGCCAATTGCACCAGGTTTTCTGGATCCACCACCTTCCAGGAAAGCTGATTTCCCTCCTCTCTTGTCACTTCTCATTCTCATTCCTGCATCTCTGAGAGAAATCCCATTTCCTGTCCCAACAAGCAGTAGTTTTCCTCGGGTTTCCATGGCCTGTGTGCCCGTCACTTCATCCGCGGCTGTGTGCCACTGCCCTCTGCGTCAAGGATGACTCAGCCTGTCCCCAACTCCAGCCTTGCTTCTGGGGGTGCCCTCGAGGGACAGAGCAGGACATTCCCGCAGTTACTTCTTGTGCTTCAGCTCAGGGACAGCTCTCCACGACAATAAGGTCAAGAGTCCCGGCCTTCCCTTAACGCGGGTGACACAGGCGGCTTGGCTTCGTGCTGCGAGACAGCTCAGTCCCACTCTGTGTGCCCCTTGCAGGTGCCCAGATGGTGAGGAAGCAGCAGCACGACTGCCACACCGATTGTGCCCAGCGCCCGTGAGTGTGAGTGGCCCCAGCCTAGTGCCTGACCTGGCAAACCAACCTGTCTTGGGGCCAGTTACAGCTTTTCCTGCTCGGTACCAGGACACTCATAAATGTCCACCTTGAGTCCACAAGAGCTGCCTTTCTCCCTAAAGATGGAACCGCTGCTTCAGACAGATCTCTGGGACCCTCCTGGCAAGTCCTAGAGCTGCGCAGAAGCCATGGATGGGACCTCGCTGGCCCGCACATTCGCCGTTGGCGGGGAGGCTCCTGCAGGCACCACGCTGCCCACAGCCAACAACAGCACCTCCCTGGCGCTCAACCTGTCGGGCCCGATGCTGGGCGCGGTCCTGGCGAACCAGACGGGGGCGCTGTCGGAGCAGCAGCAGTACGCCATCGCGCTCTTCCTGTCCTGCCTGTACGCCATCTTCCTCTTCCCCATCGGCTTTGTGGGTAACATTCTGATCCTGGTGGTGAACGTGCGCTTCCGGGACAAGATGACCATCCCTGACCTGTACTTCTTCAACCTGGCCGCGGCCGACCTCGTCCTGGTGGCCGACTCGCTCGTCGAGGTGCTCAACCTGCACGAGCAGTACTACGACAAGGCCGCGCTCTGCACCTTCATGTCCCTCTTCCTGCAGATCAACATGTACAGCAGCGTCTTCTTCCTCACCTGGATGAGCTTCGACAGGTACATGGTGCTGGCCAAGGCCATGCGTTGCAGCCTGCTCCGCACCAAGCAGCACGCCAGGCTCAGCTGCGGCCTCATCTGGATGGCGTCGGCCTCGGCCACCCTGGTGCCCTTCACAGCCGTGCACCTGCAGCACAGTGGGGACGAGTGCTTCTGCTTCGCCGACGTCACAGAGGTGCAGTGGCTGGAGGTCACCCTGGGCTTCCTGGTGCCCTTCGCTGTCATCGGGCTGTGCTACTCACTCATCGCGCGGGCGCTGGCCCGGGCGCATGGGCACCGCAGCCTGCGCCCGCGGCGGCACAAGGCTCTGCGTATGATCCTGGCCGTGGTCCTGGTCTTCTTCGTGTGCTGGCTGCCAGAGAACGTGCTCATCAGCGTCCACCTCCTGCAGCGCCCGCAGCCTGACACCACACCCTGCCAGCAGTCCTTCCGCCATGCCTACCCCCTGACCGGCCACATCGTCAACCTCGCTGCCTTCTCCAACAGCTGCCTGAACCCCCTCATCTACAGCTTCCTGGGAGAGACGTTCAGGGACAAGCTACGGCTATACATGGCACAGAAGACGACGCTGCCGGCGCTCAACCGCCTCTGCCACGCTGCCCTGAAGGCCGTCATCCCTGACAGCGCCGAGCAGTCGGACGCCAGGCTCAGCAGCGCAGTGTGAGGCGTCTCTGCTGTGCTGGGTGCGGTGCCGCCCCTGTGAGGTCATCACAGGTGCCACCCGACTTGGTCCTGCCCACAGACTTGCTTGGATCCACGTCCCAGTGCTCATGGCTGGGGCCCCATGAACACGGAAGGAGGCTGTGAGGGCTGCTGTGCAGGGGGCGCCCCAGTGGCGCACTCTGGTGCATGTGCCTAAAGAATCCACCGCTACAAAAGTCCCAGTGGGAATAAATGATGAAGTAAACCATTATCATTAAAATGTAACACTCAAGAGAGGGAACCAATGGTCCTTGGTAGTATTCTGTGCCTGTCAATCAAATGTAGTCACGTGCCGGTTCTTCTAAGCACGCAGTGTAGTTCCTAAGTAGGTGAGGAGTGGGGCGCAGTGGGGGCTCTCAGAGAGCCCCAGCACCAGGACAGCTCTGGTCTCACAAAAGAAAAGCACTGCTGTATGTCCCAAGACCTCTCCTGCAAGACCAGCACCCAAATCCAGCCAGCTGGACACAGCCTGGCATTTCCGGGATGTCCGGCTGGTGTCATCCCTGTGTGCTAAGCACGACTTTCTCATTACGATGCTGAAGGCAGGCCTGGCGGGCATCTGCACTATGCAGCCTGGCATCCCCAGGAGGTTCTGCTGGGTGCTGCACGGAGGGCTCACTGCCCTGCTCTACAGCAGGGCCAAGCTGATCCAGGCTCTGCCTCCACCCTCTGCCCATCCACCAGGGCAGCCGGCCCTTGTCCAGAGGAATCACTGCGCTGGTCTGGGAGTTTGGGTCTCTGGACACATATGCAGGAGTTGGAGCAGAACCTGAAGGAGAACACAAGGTAATGTGTAGGTGACAGAAAAGGCCCATTTCAGCCTCAATCGTGTGTGGGCATTTTTTTCATTGAAAGCTGTGATCCTGCATTTTATTCCTGATTAATATACAGTTTGACTTAAGGGAAAAGCTGAGTCAATGCAGACACAAGACTGCAGAGAACAGAAGGTGACACGCACCCCTCCCCCTGCCTTGTCGCCATCACACACAGGCTCATGCCTGTGTGGTGGGCCTGGGGCTGACAGTCTGGAGTGCCCAGGTTCCCTGACCTGGCCACCCTGGATGCAAGGCTGCTCCAAAACCCAGAATGTTTGTTCCCAAATGTTTGGACCTGCATAGTGGCACCTCCAGCATACATGTCCCATGTGGGTCTGGCTTTCTACCTCAGTGAGACACAGCAGACCTTCTCCAGGCAGTCCCCACACAGCAGAGGGTAAAAGGGCACTGTCATCAGAGTCCCACGTTCAGGTGCTGGAGCACCCCTCCCTGCACCCCAGGCCTAGTACGTTAAGAGCACAAGGTCCTAAGATGGTTTCTGTCAGAAAGCATTGAGACCCTGCAGTGTACTAGCACAAGGGGTACTCCTGTGGGCACACAGGTCGTGTTGCCAGCAGAGCCCAAGAACTGATCTATGAACCCCAACAGGGTGATATTCTTACAAGATGAATGCTTGATCCAAATCTTTCTTTGACCTCAGCGTCGATGGCAGGAAAAGCCCCTCCATCCACGTCAGGGAAACAGTGGTGCCAGCCCTGCCACGGAGCAGCCAAGCACGCAAGGCACCCACCGCCGTTCACCCCTCATCCTAGCTTGAAGAGTAGTGACATGGAGACTGGAGGGCCCACACTTCACTTTCAGCTCTGACGGGGCGGGGAGGTAGACAAGGAAGCAAGCCAGGAGTGAGTCTCTTCTCTGTCCCTATCGACAAGATCCACGCAGCCCATGCCACTCAGAAAACAGCTGCCGTGACACAGACAGTAAGTGATGAGGTGAGACAGAGCCTCAGCCCCTCCCCGCCTGCAGCCCCCCGAGGTGTGGCAGAGGCACAGGGTCACCATGGAGGAAACACAGAAGGCCAGGGAGCTCAGCACCAAGGTCAGCTGAGGTCACCTCCTGTTCTAGACCACATTCCCAGGGTGGTCAGGGAGGTAGAACAGAGACTTGCCCCAGGAACTCTCTGATCAAAGCCCCCGCACATCGCTGGGGGTCAGAGGGTCATTCCTTCAGTCCTCTGGGCCGCAACAGAAGCCGTCCATCAATCAGGGCCATTCTGCTCAAGACCACACAGAACAGGCCCCTCCTTGCTGCCCACGACAGACACCACTCACTTCAACACCACTTCCTGCCCGGGTTCCTGCCCCTCCACAGGCCAAAGCCAGGCAGGGTTGGAGGCCGGAGCTGTGCACCACAGGGACGCAGGGCAGGGCGGCAGAAGGGCCAGCACAGGCAGAGGCCTGCTCAACAGGACAGACCTCGAGCAGACAGGGGCAGGGCCTCTGAAGTCTTTCCTACCCTGTGGTCCTGGGCGTCTCAGCTGGACACGGCCCACCCAGCCCTTCTCAGAGCGTCTGTCTGCAAGCTGAGGCTAACTTAATTGTTTTTGGCAGGAGCAGCACAAGATAAAATCAAGGCGTTTGATTGCTTTGTTGTTTCCTGGTAACCGAGCTCTCAGTATACTAATGCCCTTGAACCCTACAAAGGGCCCCGAGTAACATAAGCACACAACACTCAGGGTGAGCTCTGAGACAACCACCAGCCCATCACTTCCCCTGCCTCATGATTAAATCCAGCCTCCGCCCAGCCCAGACCCTGGTGAGGACCGGAGTGATCAACTCAGCAAACCCCACCCGCACATCCTCCTGGGGCTCGAGAGGGATGGGGCCTCCAGTCAAGCCCATGCAGGTTGCATTCTGCAGCCGGAGGGTGAAGCAGCTCAGGAACTACACAGCTGCACTGTGACATTCTGGGCTCAGAACTCTTACAGGCCCAGAAAGAAGGAAGATACACATAGGACAATAACCCAATGGGAACAACGGGATCTCAGGCACCAGACTTCCAAAGCGAGGAGGGGCCTGTGCACACTCGTGTACCCGTGCACATGGGAGCACATCCATGTGCGTGCGCAGGGTGTAAGCAGACAGGCACACGGCTCATACACCCTCTGCTCTGTCCACTCAGTCCAGGAAAGAAGGGCCAGCAGCTCAGGGCCAGTGCCTAGCTCTGGTCTCCATGGGCCTCTGGTGCACCTGTAGCACAAGGTTCTGCAGGTGAGGTGACAGAGTCACATCCAGAGGACACAGGAAGTGACCCAAAGGGTTCCTGCTGGCTAATCAGGTGATTCAAGCATCAGGATAATTCATTAGTGTGAAAATAATTACAAACTATTAAAGGAAAAGCCTGAGTCTGTTCCAATAATAAACAGGTAAACATGACTTAAACAGACAATAAATAAACACAGCGCTAAACAGGAAATGAGAGCGAGCAGAGGGAGGGTCTCGCTCTTGGCAAAATGCTGGCTGGTGGAGGAGGAGGTACCCGGGGATCTCATCCCTAAGCAGCATTCTCTGAGACTGCACAGGAAGGAACCCCCAAAGGAGGCTGCATCTTGGGTGGCACTCGACGAGGAGCAAGGTACCCACAATGGTTATTAAAACAGAGCCAGAGATGGGACAGCCCTTCACCCTGTGGTCACATTAACAGTAGCCAGAGGAGTGTCCAGGCATGACCCCTGAGAACTGCAGGAGTTCCTCTTGTCCTGTCCTAGGGAGGCACACCGAAGTCTAGTCAGGAGCAGTCAGAGAAGAAGCAACAGTTCCAAGTTCAGGAGAAAAGAGAGGTGACCATTAAATGCAGGGTAGCGCCCAGCACTGTTCCACCCTGGGGAAAGGCAAGGTGCACCGTGGGTGGGATGTACCCAGGCTGAGCTGTGGTGCATGAGCAACGGCTCAACAATGCCGCCAGGTGCATGGCGGGAGCCTCCAGCATGGGCCACACCCACATCTGGCCTTCCCTTCTGGGATGCTAGTCTCTACAAACCAATGCAACTCCTGTGTAAATGCGGCTGATGGTGCCCTGGGGGACGGGGATGGATGGCCAAGCTGCACACACCTCAGCAGCAGTCACCAAGGTCCCTGCAGTGAGACAGGGGTGAACAGATGAACCCCAGAAGCTGACCTCTAACGTTTGGGATACTGCGGCTAATTGGAATTTTCTCTGTTACTTACTGCTTGGCAAGTCCAGTTTTATTTTCTCTCCCACAGTGGGAAACTAACCCTGTGGGGTGTCTTTCAATGCCCTTTGAAGTTAAAAATAGAGGGAAAGGAGTTCAGTAAGAATTAAAACTGCGTGTAGTAAATTGTTCCCTGGGACCTCCCAGCTCTCAGTCATGGAGGACACTGGCCACAGGAGCCAGATCTGCACACGCTGGCCTGTATGCCCTGCAGCCCTGGGCTCCTTGGTTTGACAGCCCCAACATGGGCAGCGGGAATGACCAGGAGGAGGGAACAGCAACTGTTGCTCACTCAGTCTGCAGGGTTCTAGGACCCTGCCTGACAACATGCTCAGAACTGAACAAACAGGTGCATCGCCCGGCCCACTCTGCACCAGGCTGTGATCGACGTCCCTGGGAACAGGACGTGGGAGGCTGGGGGAGCCCCAGAAGTGAGGGTTGGGAGGTTGGGGGAGTCCTGAGAAGTGAAGGCAGTGGCGCCATTGGGACAGTATGGCCAGAGCCCTGAGAGTTCTAGAAAGGCCCCTATGCAGCTGGGCTGCCCAGACAGGCATGGCATCCACTCCAAGCAGCCAGAGCTCCCAGCCTCCACCCTGAGTGCACGTGCGTGTGCGCGCGCACACACACACACGCACACAGGCATGCACACATGGGCGCGTGTGCACACACACACGCACAGGCATGCACACATGGGCGTGTGCACGTGCACACATGCACAATTGCAGCTTAGCTTTCTCTCAAGTCAGTTCCATATTGTCAGATAGGCGTGAGCCACTGAGCTAATCCACGGCCACCATTGTCCACTGGGTGGGGACCCAGTCTGCGAACAAGGGTTATAAAAGTCACAGGAACATGGAACAAAACTGTGTTACAACCTGTTTGCGTATCTACGTCCAAACCCTAGGGCGGAATCACCCTGAGCCTTATCACCAGAAATCAGCTGTGGGGCCTGGAGTAGCTCCAGCTCCACCCCTGGGCGCTGAGGGGGAAGGCACAATGGAGTGGGCAGCTCCCCACTCCTCCATCTCCCCCTCCTCCATCTC